AGTGCTGCATTCCAGGAACTTCTCAAAAGAATAGTACCAGAGTGGTGCCAGCCCCAGACTTTTGAGGAACTTTGTGTAAGACATCCTTCATCCTAATCCCTTATGGACTTTGCCTTCTCACTGCCATTATCATCAGCTCTTCTAGCTCTTCATCCTCTTTCTCATCACTGCTTACTTGGCAGCCAGAGAGTCAATGAACAAGTAGGTGAGGCATCTGCTGGGCCCTTGGCAAGTGCCTGACCATGTCTACCCTTGGCACCAACCTGGTCCTGAGATCTGCCTTGAAGATTCCACAGAAATCAGCTGCTGGCAGCTGGGCTGCTCTGTTAGGAATGTAGTGCCGTGAAGGTCCCTCCTATTAATATATGGAGCCATACTATAGAATTGCAGTTTTAAAGTGGCATCTTCTTATTTTCTTAAATACGCTGTATGCAGAAGCAGAAGGCACCCTCTGTTATCCACCACTGCATTTTTGTTCTTCTTGCTGGCTTCTGCACCAGCTCCCGTATGGAGGAGAATGTGGTGCGGCTTCTCTTCGTCCATGCTTTAGGGAACGGGGCATTCTGTTCTCTTCTGCTCCCCATTCAGCTCGCTTCTGACTGTTGGGAAAGCACCTGGCAAGCCATTCGTTTACGTTAGGTGCTTGACTCCCCCCCCCCCGTTTGTTTTCTAGTCTCTACTTGTTTTCTTGGGTTAATGGAATGATTTATTGTACCCCACAGTTTTTCCTGTTCCTTTTCTGTTCCCTTTCCTCTTTCCCTTTCCTCCCCTGCTGTCAGTAGGTTCCCTCTTCAAAAGTGCCTGAATTGTGAAAGCAAGATCGACGGACAGTGTCACTAAATAGGAAGTAGTTGCCTTTCTGAATGAAGTGGAAGATGACAGGAAACGACCCAGACAGGTGTCTTGTGATCCGCCTGAGAAGCACTGAGGTTGCTGCAGCTGCTGTAACAGGTTTCCTTTTCTTATGCTACTTAGCGGCTGCTGCGGCACCAGCAGAATGTTTTGTATATTCGTACTACAGGCGGGTCACCTGTGTGTCCCGTGATGGCATTATGTACGTCTGGAATTCTGTGCTGGGCACAGAAATTCAACATGATGGAAATCTTGGTGAAGATGAAGGAGGAGTTGTGTGGGGGATGGAAGAAACGTGCTCCTACGTAGCAATGAAGCTGAACTTCAAAATGTAGAGGTAGCGATAAAATCTCAGGCAGATTGGAAGGAAGGAATTTCAAGCATGGAGTTTTGGTGCCCTTTTGACCCAATAACTCCTGTTTCTCTCCTGTTTAGCAAAGCCTGCAGAAACTACATGAGATAAGGAAAACTAACATATCATTCTCCCTTTTTGTTGTTTACATTATGAGTGCCATTACCCTGTAGCAGAAATGGTCCTGCCCACACACGAGGCAGAGGTATCAGGTCCAAGAGAACCCTGAGGCTTGTAGAAGGTCATGGCATCATTCAGTGAGGACTGAACGTGCCCAGTCCATTCGGCACGCAAACTGAACCACTGGGAAGGCTAAGGGGACCGGGCTGGGGACCCAGCATCTCGAACACAGAGCACTCCGCACAGCAACTTGTCGTTCTGGGGCCCGACTTGCATTGGCTTCATTTGCACTGATGCTTAGCGGCTGCAGAATTTAGGGTGAAGCTGTGCACAGCTTGGTTAGGGCAGTGCGGCTGATCTAGACGCCACCTTGCTGCCTTCAGGGTGATCATAACCTTCCCCAACGTGGTTGGTTCTGAAGAAAAATCCCATGTCCACATGCTGGAAGTGAGATCTGGCTGTGCATTGCGGTGGTTGGCTGACCGTCCGTGATGTCAGCAAGCACTCTCTTCTACATGTGCTTGCTGCCTGGAGCACTGGGCAAGCAGGAGCAAAATTTCCAGCCAAGCATGCGTTCATTGCACTGATGCCCACGTCTGTCTTTGCCTCCAGAAGGAAGCTGGGTTTCCACTGTAGCTGGAGAGATCTCTCTTCTGATACGAAGTCCGCCTTCAGCCTCAGTTTTGCCTGGCACAGAATAACTTGGCTTTCCGGTGTCCAAGAGATTTCCTTTCCTTTTCTCCAAATGTGTGGTACCAAACTGCAGCTGCTCTGGCGTGCCTGCTCCAGATTCTCATATGTCTCATAGGTTTTGTTTCAGCCTCATGAGCATTGGAGTTCCCACCTGCCGAAGTTTCTCACAAGGATTTTTTCCACCACATAATTGTGTGGAATGTTGTCCCAGCTCAAAGTGGCTATTTTATTTCCTGTATGGAAATTGGTGCCCCCCCCCGCCATTTTCTTTGCTATGCTTTTGTCTGTCTGGTTAAAATTCACATAAAAAACCCCGTAGTTGCTCTTGTCATTTAAATCCACCGACAGTTCCTCAATAGCAAAATCTGAAATGATTTTATTTGTGCATGGAAGTGCTGGAGCTATTTTTACATTTTGACATGTCAGCGGTAACATTTCCTCAGGATGAGTGTCTTGCATTGAGGAAAGGAACCTGCGGTTTCTTTTGTCTTTTGAGGGACCACAGTGCAAAATGAATAGTAATTCTGTTTGTCCTTGTGGCTGTGTGCACTTCATTAAACAAACCAACAATTCACAATCAAACTTTGTTGCTAGGGAAAATCAACTGCATATATTCAGGTCATGTGCTTGGCAGGCCGACTTTCAGCTGAGAAATGAAGTGCAGGTGGACTTTCTTATGGCTGCTGAAGCACAAGAGCATCGTCACCCTCCCATGGAGGCAAAGGAAATCTGCGCCTGAGCAGCAGAAGCGATCCTTGAGCTGCTTCATGTTCTTTTGACCTTCCACCGTGACAACAGAGCCATTTTTCTCTACTCCTTTCCTTTGTTTTGACAAAGCAGATGATAAACTCCTATTGTTTGTGTCTAACTCTCCCTGTAAACAATTTAAGTTGGTTTTAATGCTTTCCTCTTATGTCTGGCTGACATCTGAGACTCCTTTGCTACCAACTTGGAAAAGTTGATTAATATTATTACTTTTATACCCTGCCTTTTTGCTTCCTGAAAGGAACCCAGGGTAGCTTTCTTGGTTCCCCTCTCCCTGTGAGGTTGGTTGGCCTGAGGGAAAATGATCTCCCCAAAGTCTCCCAGTGAGTTTCATGGCCTAGTGGAAAGCAGAGTCCTGTTCTCCTGAGTCCCAGTCCCGCTTTTCTGTAGCTTCAGCTAAGCTTTGGAGGACCATTCTTGAAGAGGCCTTCTAACCACCCTTCCATTTGCTTTGAAGGGCTTTTCATTTAGAAAGGTCTTTGGCCCTCTGAGGAGATTTGAATGTTGCTATTTTTGTTCTTGTTCGGCTGCAGCTTCAGTGTTAACTTCATAGCCTTTCTCTGCTCCTTTTTAAGAATGAATGTTTTATTGTGGTTGCATGTGGTCTTACTCAGCCGCCTTGGGCACTTTCCAGTCCCCAAACACCTCACTTCAGATTCAAGGATAACTAGGAAGCAACAAAGCCACCTCTGTCAAAGATGATACACAGTTTATTGAAAACAATGCAGATCATTCCTGGGTTATGGACGAGTTCCATTCTCAAGTCAAATTTCTGTGCAAGTTTGATCACATGAATAAGCCAAATGTTTGTCTTGGTTTATGTGTATATTTTACCTTTTCATGCATATAAAACACTTGAGAAACACTTCCGTATTCACTGAAACATCTTAAACAGACTACAGCATTGTAATAATGATAACAATATAATCATAATAAACTAACTGCAGGTACTGAAGAGAAAGAGAGAGACTCTGTATGTTGAAATAATTGTCATAACTTGCCTCTTATGCCTGATTTAATGTATGTTTCAACTTCATTGTGTGTCCATCTTTAATTTGAATGTAACCTCAATAGAAAATAACTTGGATCTTTAAAAGTGACTTACTAGTCCCTCATTTTCTTCTGAAGTTCTCTGATAATGTTCTGCTAGGACAATACAATCCAGTGCCTGCTTATTACATTCAAAACACTTTAAACCATGACAAATTAGTCTCAATGGATCCATGTCTGGAAAGAGCTGGCTGGGCATTTGTTGAGATTCATGTTCCAGTTCCTGATGTAGCACAAGGTTTATGTGGATGAGGGGGCAAATGTGTTGTTTGAGATGCTGAAGAGCTCACAGGAGATGACAACATTTAGTCTAAGGAAATGGCTTTCCATGACTATCTCTAGGGAACTATACTGCCACTGAGAGACATGTCACCAAACACGCCGCATAGTTCCCTAGAGATAGCCATGACTATCTCTAGAGGAAAGCTATAAATATCTCTAGGGCCACTGAGAACATACTGCCAAATGTGTCATATTCCCTAGAGAAATTTGTGGCTTTTCAAAAGAAATATTCATATCAGGTTATGCCAGTCCACATGTTCACAAGTATGAGTCGTTCATAACCTGGATGTTCATAACCTGGGGATCACCTGTAATGAAATTTGAGTGTAGAATATAAACAAGCTTACTCCTTGTCTGTGGCCCTATCAGTTGCCTGAATAGGCTTGGGGATGCTGGATGAGCCTCCAAAGTTGCCTAGGCAAGCAATGCATCAATTCCTCTCCCCAAATGGAGAACAAATAGATTTTATAAAATTCTTCGCTCCCACTGTTTCAAAGGATCTAACCTGCATCCCTGGGAGACAGAGGTAGGACAAAGCTTCTTCGACAAAATAAACAGTTCTTACAGCAAAAGTAGCTCTTATCAAAAGCATAAAAGGCAACTCCAAGGCAATGATCTCTGGTGTTGTTCATAACAAGCTGAAGGCAGAACTGCTCCTGGTTTCTTGGCGTCCTGTGATTTTGGAAGAGTCTCACTTCAATATAATCAGTGTACCATTCGTTCGTTCGTTCGTTCTACTCCTATATTACTTAACAGGATAAAATCTCCAAGCAGGTGCATATATCTGCTTTATAGCTATTATCATGCCTTGCTTTTTGTTGTGTGGTGCTGTATTTTTTGTTTCGTTTTTTTTCATTGGTTGGTTTGCTTATCTCTGTCTCTCCAGGCTGCTGACCTAAAAATCAACCCGTCTACCACTTTCAAAGAAAAGCCGGACCTGAACGGCCTGGTGTTTGGAACTGTTTTCACAGACAACATGCTGTTCATAGAGTGGTCGTTAGCTTCAGGTTGGGAGACACCTCATATTAAGCCTTTGGAGAACCTCTCTGTGCATCCTGCAATCTCAGCTTTTCACTATGCTGTCGAAGTGAGTACAGCTCAGGACGAAGTTGAGCACTTGTGATGTTTGAACAGATACTTTTCCTGTCTTTTGTAAAACATTTTTACTTTGGGTTCTGTAGTTCAATGGAAGGTGCCAAGATGTGTGTTCTTGCTGTGCTAGAACAATAACTCTGAGACAGTAGGAAAGGAATGGAAGAGGGTTAAGGTCCCCAGATTTCATGTTACTGGGAAATGTGGTAGTTGCTGACCTGTATCTCCCGGACAATGTGTACTTAGGGGAAAACACATGATGTTTTCCCACCCTGCTCCTCTTCACTGGCTACTCCTGGCGGGGGGTGAGAAAACACCATATTTTTCAAACTGTTTTACCTGGGAGATCTTGTCAGTGATTTCCACACATCACCCCATAATGTGTAGGTTTGGCCTATGATCTTGCCTTAAGAACCTCATTTCTGCTGGGCTCCTCAGAAGGTTTTTGGATAATCACATTTACTCTGGCTTGCCAAAATGAGTGAAGGTTAATAATGATACACTGGTGGAATCATCTTTATCATAAGAAAGGTGTCACAGGCATATTACAGCTACAACTGTCTTCACTTAACATTTATTTTAGTGGAGAAGAATGAGAAGTTGAAGACATGAGTGGGGAAGTATTTATTTAATTCCTACATGTTTCTTGTTGGCATTGCAAGCCTCCAGTTCTTAAACACTGGTATGGAAAATCATTCATGGAAAGAATAATGAACCAGATGAAAAGGCCACTGGAGTTAATCAGACATGAGAGCAAATCTTCAGTTCTAAGGCTAATTCTGCATATTCTCTGACAGGGAGTAATTTTGCATGCCTCTGTTTGAAAGCCCACCCTATGTGCTCACATGCCTTTTTGGTTCTTCCCATAGTCCCTGCCTGCTATTCATGCCATATTTAATACCTTTAGAAAAACGACATGAGAATTATTCCAAAGGTAAAATGAAAATAGTGAGGCCCCCCCCCCTCCACTTCACTCACATGTCTGGACATGTTCTTGGCCACATTCTATGATTTGGTTCTGAAACATGCATGTTGTGAAACTCCAAGCAACATACTTTTTAAGACTGGGCCACGTACCTGCACATATATCATTTCATCACTCAAGCCTGGATGACTTGAAGATGAAGGTGTCTGCTGACCCCATATGATGGCATTTGAGAATGTATGAAAGGACCCTCCCTGAGACGGGCTCCTTCGCACCTTCAAATCATCATTGGGTGCTCCAGATACCAGCAGATGAAGGTACACTGTGAATTTCTTCTCCCCACCATGGCTCAGCTGGCTGAATTCGTTGCCTCTCCGCTCCCAAATTCTCACTGGTTCTTCGTGCTGGCTCCAGTTTGTTAGTCCTCTTTGGGAAGGCACCTCCCACCTGCTCGGTCCCTTGGCCATCAGTTGCTCCTGCTCCTCGCCCTCTTTCTGATCACTGCTACCACTTGATTTTTGACTGGCAGAAAGCCATGGAGTAATTAGGCTATGGCATCTCCTGTCCTCCTCACAACTACCGTCATCTAAGCCAGAAGGAGAAGCTGGTGAGCAAGCTGATGGTGATGGTGAAGGAGAGTAGGAATTCTAGGGGCCTTGTCAGTGGCCCCCTGCTGGGGAGCTGGCCCTTGGCAAGTGCCCAGCCATGCCTCCCCTTGCGGCCAGCCCTGGGTCTGCTGTGCCATTACCTCTTCTTTGGCAGTGTAGCACAGTTGCATGCTTGAAACCAAAGTGAGTGGCTGCCAGAAGCCAGCATGGTTAACCCTTGGAGGCACTGACTGCCCAGTGTTGCCATTTCTGTGTCCATAAAAGCAGCATATGTTATACTTCCATTTGTGTCAGAGCCTCACTTAAGGGCACATTTTTGCTGCCAAAGAGCATGTGGAGAAAATGTGAGGCATGGGGCGTTTTTGTGCTTTAATCCTCTTTCCGTTGCAAGTTTTCCAAGGGTCCTTTTGTTTTGGCATCTCAATGCTCCCCAGGCTTTCCAGGAGAATCTGGTCCCAAACCCCTTTTCCCACCTACCCTCTTAGCCCCTTAGGAAAACTCTACTGGGCTTTTCCAAGTTATCCATACTCTTTTTGCTTTTGATTATCGCTTTTTAAAAACCTCCCGCCTCCCAAATGCCAACCTTGTGGTTTTTTCCAGGTCTTTCTGGCTGAGGAGGTTCATGTGTTCTGCAGCACCTTTCCCCACCTGATGCCCTCCAGATTGGAATGCAGTGGGCACAATTCCAAGCCATGGGCCATGCTGCCTGCAAATTGAGCCTTGCACTCCCGAAGGGCGGCAGGTTGGGACAGGCCATATGACGGGCTCTCTGTTTTCATACAGAGCATGGAACCATGCTGAGTCCTGGATGTGTTGCTTCTCTCAAAGTAGCATTGTTGCTGTAACGCCCAGTGTCTGAACTCTTCACTGCTAATAATGCATATGTTCTTCTTTTTTATATATTCCCCCATTGTTTTTCTTTTCCTTTTCTTTTTACCCTTTTTTTTGCATCACGTTTCCTCTAGCCAAGAGGACTGACAGAGGCGAAACTGCTCCAAATGCTCTGGCTCAATGAATACACAGTGGGTATAACATGAGACGACACGTCTGGCATGCCCTTCTCCACCCCACCCCACCCCACGCCTCTCCATCTCCTGTGGTCTGTGACTCCCCTGATAATCCTGGCTCTGCTGGCTATGTCCGTGGCCTAGCTTGTGTGTTGCAGACACGTGGCAGAATCCAGATCCTTGTTCATCTTGTTTGTGTGGATCCATCCATGATGACCCTCAACCGGACTTGCCAATAAAGCAGTTGAAACTGATTAGTGCCCCCGTGGCTGCTGTTCCATGTGCAGCCACTGGTAGGGTGACCATTTCTCCTCTTTTGCAGAAGATAGTCCTCTGTTTGAAGGCTTGCCCAGTCCAATTCTGATGTCAAGAATCACAACGGTTGTCCAACAGTCGTTCACAGCAATGCCACCTATAGTGGGATGTGCTTCATTTCTGAGCATTACTTCTGTGCATATAAATTAGCACATTTCCTAGCAATGGATGCTATCTTGTCCTTTTTCCAATGATGCATTTCCTTTTGGGGGGGCTGCAGGGGGGGATTCATAAGTATTCACGTTGCATGCATGAACGGTAAAGGGAAAAAAAGTAAAGACACCTTTGTCCTGTATGTGTCTACTCAGACATACATCCTGTTGAATTCAGTGCAGCTTACTCCCAGGAAAGTGAATGTAAGATTACAGCCTAAGAACTTTTCTAACTGTTTTCTTGGGAACCGGACCAAAAGCTGCTCATTAACTGGCCTTGAATAGTTTAAGCCTATCATGCAGTTTAAAGACTACTTCCTCCTGTGTACGCATCACAATTTTTAAGATCTACCAGGGGGTCCATCTTGGTGATATTTTATTCATTCATTTAGTTCTTTAAAAGAAAGTCTGCCTTACAGTACAAAAATATATAGCAGCTGCTAACCAGATTAATCGGGGAAAAACAAGAAGCAGTAGTTAATAATAATAACAACCATAAACAATCTGCAGCCGTAAAAATGCCAAACAGTAATAAAACAGTGAGAGCAGTAGTTAAAACACAATCCATTAAAAGCTTGGAAGAATAAAATTGTATTGATGCCATGGCATCCTCAGCAGCAGCATTCCACCACTGAGGTGCCCGGTGTCCATCTCCAGGTACCAAGGGACGATGTCCCTAGAGTAAGGCATCCTCTCCAGAGGGGTGAAAGGAAAGGAAGTTTAGATCTACTGGCAGGTTTCCCCATGAACTATAGTCGTTCAGCAAGGGATCGCATTTCCCGGTTGTATAAAAAGCAAGTAAAAGTTCCAACTTTGTAAAAAAAAGTCTCTGCTTGGGTCAGTCTGGTTGTAGTGGCTGGTCTCCCAGCCTTAGTAATTCTCACCCGTGCAATATGAGTATTACTTGGTTGTTTCTGCCGCGCTATGTGCAGCTGTACAGGCCAGGCCTAAGAATTTCCCTTGAACTCAGCATTTAATTTGTCATGAATTATGGTTCCACCCTTCACCCATTCAGTGCCACAGACACTTCTTGGAAAATGTTCTTTACTGAACAAAGCATTTCCCAGATGCACAAATTCCTGGAATGAATCTCTGAGCGTGCACAGAGTGGTTCTTTGAACCCAATCTAGTACCCACTTCGAAGAACTCTCATTATGGGAGTGCCTAGCCCCATCCCCACCTGAAAGCAAGCGTGCCTCTTCTCTTCGTGCTGATCTTCTAATTGGGCCACCCTCCTCTTGACCCTCCAGGCCATGGGGTCAAGAGTTGGGCAGCCCCATCTCTGTCTGAGAAACTCCCCTGCTCCGGGTCCCCTCCTGCCAGCTGTACACCTTGGTTATTCCCCCCACCTGGGGAGTCTGGCCTTGAGATAAGCACCTCCGCTTCCCTCATCTACACTCCTCGGCTTTGCCCACGCTCCCAGGTCTCCTGCTGCATCTCCCCTGCTTCCAATTCTGATTCTTCTGGAGATCAGCCAGCAGCCCTTGAGAACGAGGACCCAAAGCAGCCGTTTTTCATATTCACAACAACATTTATGCTTGAATTGATGCAATTTAGTTGATGGGGTACAGTGGTTAATTGACTCTGACCCTGCTGCTTTTTCTACATGACTCTGGCTGGGCGGGCCTTGAGTTCTGGTAGAAAAAGAGAACATCCTGCAAACTTGATTTCTGTGTGTTTTGTCCCCCGAGCTCAGCTCAGACAGGCCTTTATAGCACACCCTTTTACAACCTGGTGCTATCTCGTTGTGTTGGGACTACAACTGCCATCAATGTTAGGCAGCAGCTGGCCAGGGCTGCTAGAACTTGTAGTCCAACCCACTGAAAGGGGATCAAGTTTGGGGAAGGCCGGTCTACTATCTAATATCTTTCCAGCATCTGCCTCCCAATTACATAAGGAGAAATTTCAGTGAATTTAATTGAATGTCAACTTTTCCTGGTGATTTTTATTTCACCCCCAAGCAGGAATGGGGTATTTGTAAATGAGGACGAATGTCTTCATTTCTCTTGTGCTTTCCAAAGAAATATTACAGAAAAGGCAGCTGGAGTAGATCAGCTCAGCAGTCCTTATGGCAGTCCTGTAAGGAGTGTTGATGCGAAAGACTTGGGATATGTATGGCTGAAGCAAACCTGGGATACTCAGCACACATTTTTCTTCCCTGAACCGTACGGGCTTCCAATCCCAGCTCTGTCTGTCCTTGCAGTGGGAAAATTCCTCCCACTAGTCATTGTGAGCAGCCGGTTTCAGCTCTGCCAGCATGTCCGGAATTCCCCGCTGGTTTCTCCTGTTGCTGCTGAAAAGGCCGGTCTGGGCCCTGCAAGTGTGAGAGATACTTCCTGTCCTTCCAGGAACAGACAGAAAGGGCTAGAGTAAGGCCTGCTTGTTCTTGGACAATGATTTCATTCTTGGTCCCCCTCCAAACTCTGAGGCATATTTGAGTAATGGCAAGTAATAATAGGGAACAGTCTGAGGCTGTGGTGCCCTGGAGCATCTTTCACCCACTTTGCAGCTGGAAAAATGTCTGCTTAGCTTCACAGAACTGTGCAGAAGGTCAGTTCACTGAACTGGTAACAGAGATGCTCCTAGTAGAGACTTTGTGTCCCACTGAACCTTCAGCTTCTCTGTCTGTAGCGGGATGTTAAAGTTCCCTCAGCCTGAGGGGCAAGTTTCATTTCAGAGAAAGTCTCTGGGGCCACGAATAAGCAAACTCATCCTTAGATTCTTCTGTACCCATGGCTATAAATTCAGGTGAATGACATAGAGCCAAAAGGCTGCGTGTGGTGCTGCCCCAGGCTCAAGATAAAATCTTGAGGATTCTGACTCTTGCTTACAGATAAAATAAGTTTCTAGCTCTCATGAATGCAAGGATTGTTTGAAATTCTGGGGGCAAACAAAGCAAGAACATTGGAAAGGCTGCAGTAGTTAAGGAACTATGATAATTTACTGTTTTAATCAGCAAAGGCTGCAATTCCACACTTTCAGGGGGGAAGCCCCATGCGGACACAAGAGTGGCTTGTATTTGAATAGATGTGATTCGGTTTACATTGAAAACCTGCAGGCATTGTTGGAAGGAGAACCTGTGCTTAGTATCAGTTGCTTCATGCCTTCATCACAGGTGTCTTCAGGTGTTCTACCGGGCTTTGTAGTAGAATACCTGCTTTTCACGCAGAAGGTCCCTGACTCAGTCCCCGGCATTTACAGGCCGGGGTACAAAAACTGGACCCTCTGGGAACCCTCGCTGCCAGTCAGTGCTGACAATACTGGCTAGCTGGACCAAGGGCCTGGCTCAGTGTAAAGCAGGCACCTGTGTTCTTCACATGCAGACACTGGGAATATGGGGGTGGACCCTCATCTTCCCTGTCCCTAGAAAGGGAGCTTCAAAACGCCGTGCTTTCTAAGTTTTGAAGGCAGCGTCTACGTGTGTTTAGCTGAACGTGATTGGCTCTGTTAGGGATGGGCAAACAAGCCCAGGATTCTTCAAACATGGCCTCACCTCTCATCTCATTCCATTCACATTTGCAGTTGCTGCTTGCTCCATGAAAATGGGAAGCCTCCGCCAATAGAGCAGGGATTGAATTTCAGATTTGTGCAAATCTTTGCAAATTTGTTCAGCATGCCTCATTTGCACAAATTCCCTCCATAGGCTTAAGTAAGGGTGATTCAGTCTACAGAGGAAATTTGCGCCAATTGGAAATCAGAAATGAGATGTACATGAGCATGTGCTCATTTTTGGAATACTTCTGACTGAACCAACCCATAGCCTTGAAAGCAAAACAAATATGCCTCTAATTCACATCTCCACTCATTTTAAATTATCAGTTACTGATTTATACTTGGCAGATGAATCAGCTAAATGTCTAGTAACAAGAGGTATGTGAAGGCAGGGACTTTCCAGTGCTGGCTGAAACTTCATGCATCAGGCTTCATTTTTTTTCACCCCACCGCTGCTCGAGTCTCTTCAGGCGCTCTTCTCATGGGCAGAATATCTTGTGCAATGCAGAGAACTGAACCCGTCGGAGAAGTGCAGTTCAGCCCTGCCTCCCCTTGGTGCCAGCACATAGTGCCCTTAGCTGGGGACACAACTAGCAAAGAGAAAACTTTTTTCTATGCTGAGAGAGGTGCATTTCTCAATATGGAATGGGCAGGATGATTATCTCACCGAGTGGAAAGTACGGTGGTTCACTATTTTGCTTCCACCTGAAACAGGTTCCCTTCCCAGGGTCTAGCAAATCCACCAGTAAAAGCTCTCAGTCCCAAAGGGAGCAGGGCCAAACAGGATGTCTGTAGCAGGAAGTTCCATCCCCGGGGAAGTCAAAGTACCAGAGCCCCTTAATAAGATGTTGGAGTTGACAGATGGATGTTTCTTTTGTAAAATTAGGAAGGGGGACTTTCGCATGCAATAATCCTTATTTATCAACTGTGGAAGAATGCAGGGATTATTTAGCAACTGTTGAGCACTAATGTTTCAAACATGTAAAACTATTGATCATCTCATTTTGAATTAATATGCATTTATTTTCAAAGTATTTTGGAAGAATATTTTAGTAGAAGAGGTATGATTTTGATCACTCCCTGAAACCGCATTCTCAATTGCTCTCTTCTTTGTTCCTTTAGCTCTTTGAAGGCATGAAGGCATACCGAGGTGAGGATGGCAAAATCCGCTTATTTCGACCAAGGCTCAACATGGACAGGATGTTGCGGTCAGCCCTGCGGGCGACTTTGCCAGTGCGTAACGCAAACTTCTTCTTTTTCCTCCTTCCTTTTTATTTTTGGGTGGTTCTTTTAGTCAAAGCAGTGAAACTTTTCAAGGATTGACAGCTGGTAGCGTGAGCTGAATTCCAGGAATGCTTTACATCTGTGTTTATAACACTCCTGCCAAGGAGATTTTTAAGGGTCTAAGAGTTGGTGAAAGTTTGTCTTATGATTGGATCAACCTGTAGTTGACACAGGCTGCAAGATCATGAGCTCCCTTAGAATGAAGAATCTGCCTTCAGAGCAAAATGGGAGATGGGACCACTTCATGTGACCATTATGCAATAAATGGCAGTCCATTACTGGAAAGTGGATTTCGTTTTTCATCTCAAGTGTGGGATGATGACAGTCGATCAGATATCCAACAAATCCCTGGTCTGAACTGTTTGTGCAGCTCTCCATCCCAATGCCAATTTGTTCAGGGATGGCCCATGGGCTGGATCAGGCCTGCTAGGAAGAGGCAAATGTGTTCACACATTTTCCTACAGATGTTGCGGTATTGCTCTGTCGTGCTTGTTTTGTAAATGCATCTCCAGAAAGGATATTCTCAGGAGTTAGTTCCTCACCATCCCGGGCCCCTCTCTGAACTCAGGTTGCTGCACGACCTCCTTTATAGGCACGCCTGACGATGGTGAGCCATAGGCGTGGAAGTGGATGAAGGAGAAGAAACAGGACTGGGCCTTCCAAGCCATGTGCCCGTGGCACCGTTCCTAGTGCCCTCCTGGCTCTCTGCCTCTCTTGGTTTCCATTTTATTTGTTGGAATGTTCGCCAAGGCCATCTTTATTTCCCAGAATGCCTTTGGGCCCCATCTGGCGTTCTTGGCCCACTTATGTGTCATGAGTTTCCTTTCTGTGAAATAGGTCCTGGAGCACCTCGCCTTGGTGTTTTGGAGCTCATTCACCACCTCACCTTTCTACTTGGGTTCTTTTTTTCCATTCCTCTGATGATCTTCATTGCCCTCCTCTGAACCCATTGCAGGCCTAGCTGCAGAAATGCATAATGCATTTATTTTTAAGCATTTCTTATTCCTCCCTTAAAGCGCAAAGACTCACAAGGTAGCTTAGCATGCATATAAAATCTTCACCTGAAGTGCAAAACCGGTGCACTCTTTCTTGTGTCAGTGGATGTTAGTCCACTTTGGCTGCATGGGGCTGATTCACAACACCAGAATGCAGCCTGCATAGTAATCAAAAGGGTCTTAAAGCAAATCATCAGCACGGGAGAGAGAACACGGAGAGGTTTGGGGGCAGGCGAGGCTGCAGAACAGGTTTCAAGGAGCCCTCGGCCTGTGTCTTGAGCTGTCTGAGATGCACGATCAGGGGAAACAGTGTTGGAAGCTACGCTAGGGATGGAGGTTGGGTCAGATTTAGCTGTAGGTCTCCAGTTACTTGTAACCTCCTTTTGTGCATCTCCGGGGAGAAACCTTCCAATATGTTAGAGACTGAGAACTGAAAAATACACTTTGCAAATGCGGTATAATTGAGCAAGCTGGTTCGTTTCTTGCATGGTTGAATTCATAAGACTTTTGGGCATCGTGGTTTTGTCATACACTAATGGCAGTGTGCTAAACAGCACTGAACCGTCACGGTCCCTGAATTGATAGCCTAATTAAATGTCCCATTAGGCCATGTCCCCGTAAAAGTTATTTTTACACACTGTCTTCCTCTCGTTTCCAGGGGTTCGACAAAGAAGAGCTCTTGGAGTGTATCCGGAAATTGGTGGAAGTTGAAAAGGAGTGGGTGCCATATTCAACCTCTGCTAGCTTGTATATTCGCCCTACTTTAATTGGAACAGAGGTAGGAAAAATAAACCCAGCTTTTTTCTTCCTCTCCTCTCCTCTCCTCTCCTCTCCTCTCCTCTCCTTTCTTTTCTTCTTTGTGCTTTGTTCTGGGCTAAATTTTCATTTGGGCCTGGCCTAAACATGGCAGGATTCTGAGGTGGCAGAATGGATCATACTACTTTGTGCTGAGGGTAGGGGGGTTCATGTTTCAGAATTCCCCCCCCCCCATCAAGATGCTCTGTGTGCAAAAAAGGAAAAATGTTCTGTCCAACCTGTTCATCGCTCTGTTTGTTTTCTATTGCAATTAATTATTGTTTTTCTTTTTGCAAAGGAGCATTCAAACATTGCCCCTTCTGGATTCTGAAATAGTACAGTCCATTCTGTCACTTCAGAATTCCACCACTTAATGGAAATAAGTGTAAATAAATGAATAATGGTCTGAGCATCCTATTATGGGGTGGTGTGGGAGAAATGCCAAATCTTCCTGACAATGTGTGATCTGAAAGAGGGTGCCTTGGCTTTATTTTGTTAGCACTGCCCTTCTCTTAAATGAAGTGATCCGATCATTCTGGGGTGTGTTGGGAGTACCTTTTTTTAGTCTAAACATGCTCAGGCATGAGCACAGAGGCTGCTCCTCTATGAGCAGTTCAAGCACACAGCTCATACTTGAATGGGTTCCAAGAAAGCAGACGCAGAGGTGAAAGGTGATGGTCAGCCCCTGGTTAATTTTGATAATACAAGTAATTGTAATCATCATGATGTTCTGATGGAAAAGACAAAAACATTTCAAGCTTTTTTGTGGGGGTAGGACTAACACTCTTTTCAACTTCTCTCTGCAACCCCAAAAGGTAGAATCTCTGGGATACTTGGGGTGTTGCCAGGCTCCCTTAGGCATTGCACAACTCCCCCCCCCCCCCCAGTGTGGGGGTCTGAACTTACTGAATGGAGATGAGGTTCCACTGAAAGGGTGATTAGCCACTACTTAGTTCACATTAAAATCAAAACTGCAGTGGATATTTGCTTGGATCCCGTCCTCCGCGACCTATTGCACATGCCCGGGCTAAACACCCCCTTTCCCTTTCTGATCTGAATTGCCTCACACACAAGGCCTTCCCTGTGCCCTTCTTCTCCCACGTAGGGCAAAAACACATGTTTTCATGTATCCTTAAGGTCTGTGCTGTATGGAAGAGAGAGTCATCTTGGTTGGGAACTGGTTTCCATGAAGCAACCCCCAGGGGGGAAAAAAGGACAAAAAGATATTATGGGAACCACATCTGTTTGTTGTAAAAGCAGGCATGGCAGGCAGCTCCCCCCGCCCCAACTCCGTGTGTGTGTGTGTGTGTGTGTGTGTGTGTGTGTGTGTGTGTTCAGTTTACCCTTGATTACAGTGCCACCTAGTGGTAATCTTTCGCCATTTCACTGCATACATTTGCTGCCCTTCATTCTTCTTCATATGATGTCAGATATTTCCCCAGCTATATTGTTTATTTCTGGTATGCAGCCGGACTGCAGGAGGAACAGCTCTTGCACTACTTTGGGTACCAACAAGCAGCCCATCAGACAGGAAGCACCCCAGCCTCCCTTGACTTGGAGCTTATTTGGACACAACTTTGCATTTCATGCACATGTGTGTTCAATCTGGAGGTTGTGCCCTCCTGCGCAATGCAGAATTGTGTGAGCATTTCCTTGCTTCACATGGGGTTGGACCTCTGACTACAGAAAATGTGGGAGCCGGTGTGCCGGAGTGATTAAGAGCACAGGACTGGGACTCGGGTGACCTGGGTTCTAGTCCCCACTCAGCCATGGAGCCAACTGGGTGACTTTGGGCCAGTCACAGACTCTCAGCCCAACCTACCTCACAGGGTTGTTCTTGTGGGGATAAGATGGAGGAGAATGGTGTAAGCTGCTTTGATTTCATAAGAGAAAAGCGGGATATAAATCTAATAAATAATACAGAACGCTATTCCAAGTCATTTTGAAATACGAGCTTTTCTAATGAGGGGGAGAAAGTGATACAGGTGTGCATGTCAGTGATGGCCTCCCACACACCAAACAACCTGGATGCTCCTACCCCTCTGACAATAGTTGGATGTGCTGCAGTGAGTGACTGTGGCACAGAGATGGTGCAAGATTAGCATCCGCTCGTTGCTGCAGGTGCACTTCTGAAAGGTCGGATGCAAGGACTTCTGGCAGCCTTACTGGGAGCTTGAGCAGGGAACATTCAGCAACAAGCGATTTATTTCACACTATGTGGCCAAAATACGAGTAACTCGCCTTCCCAGGACCCAGAGATCGGTCAGCCAATGGCACGATCTGAGATTCTTTGGGCCCCTCTTCCAGTTTTCCTTCTGGTTCCACATAGTCATTCCATTCCCACTAGGCCTCAAAAGCAACCATGATGCCTTCACTAGACATGAACCTCCTGCTGATCCAGAATTGCCTTTGCTTCCATTATGCAGCCCTCGCTTGGAGTCAAGAAACCCTCAAAAGCACTTCTGTATGTGATCCTGAGCCCTGTGGGACCCTATTTCTCCAGCGGGAGCTTCAACCCCATATCCTTGTGGGCAGATCCAAAATACGTCCGGGCCTGGAAAGGAGGCACGGGGGACTGCAAACTGGGAGGGTAAGAGGAAAAGCTGTACACTTAATCCATAGTTCATTGTTTTCCATGCATGCTTTGCAAGTGTACGAATATTAAATCCCCATGTGTTAAAGGGAAACTACCATTAAACTATGTTAGACTATGTTAAACTGCCTTTTTCAGGCAGGAGCAGAGTGGCAATATCAGAGTCCTTTTCTCAGTGCATATGTTGCTCCGTGCCTCTTTGTTTCTGAGGAAGTAAATGTTTGTCTCTTGTCACTGCTGGAGACAAACAGCCCTTCTCTTGTGTTAACCACATGAAAGGACTGGGAGAGAAGCCGGTGGACAAACTGGGGAACCTTCACGAGCCAGTTTTCCCCAACCCTTTCGCCATCCATCCACCCAGAACACCACCACTTTATTCCAAATTAAGAACAACTGCTATTGCTTTGCTCCATATTCACATCTCAAAGATTGTTTGGAATACGTACTTCTTTTTATAGTTTTTTCAAAGTAACATTGAAAAACAACAAATTTGAGTAGACTACCTGTGCGTACATTTCTTTAGGGACTTTTGATTGCTCAGGATCTCTGTTTGGCCCAAGCAAAATGATTGGGTAAGGTTATCACTCACTGCCCTTCTAGAACACACCATAAAGTTTCATGTGTCTTACAAGGTTGTTGTGTCTTCTCTTCAGTACTTGTGAAATCAGCACATGGATACCGTGCTGTATTAACCAGTCTCAATTTCTTCTTGATCTCTTGGTACCCAAAGAGTTTAGTAAGTTTCTCCTTCAGTGCAAGGTCCCATATTTTCCATTTCCATCTGGTAAGAGGAAGTTCATTTTCTGATTTCCACTTAGCGGCTTTGATCAACATGGCTGCTGTCCAGAAAAAAAATGTGTCAGAAGTTATCCTATCCCAGAGGCTGTAGGAGAAACCTGCTTATGCCATGGCAAATTTGGAGTGAAATTTCCTTCGTTCAATAAGGCTGCTCGGTAATCCCTGCCGTGAACCAGTAAACTACTAGCTAAGCAGTTGTGCTATTGGAAGAGATTTCAGAGCAAACAGGAGGTATAATGATGTCGTCATTTAGTGTATTACCCACTGCTGGATTAACCAATGTGTTAATTGCTCTATATTGGAATCAGCCTTTGCCAATGGAAGCCCTTGCTGTGGACCAATTGTATAGTTCTTCCCTTGCATGACGCATACACATCCATCTTCCTTCCCGCACTGGCCCTCAGGCTGGCACTTTCTGAAAGTGGAACGTGGTATTTGCCCTGGAAAAGGGAAGCCGTGCTTTGTCCTCATCCACTGTGAACAGGCAGCTCTTGGCCCACTAGCCCAGGAGCTTAATAGTATCTGTACTGCATGCATTTCTGCGGGATGCAATTAATAGGAAGGAAGGTAGTTTTACTCCGTGACCGTGTCTTCAGGCACAATGTGAAGACCGGAAGCACATGCACCAAACTGTTCCGTGCGTGAGAAGGCCTGGCCTAAGCAAAAGGATGATGGGTTCGACTCCTCCTGGCCTAGGGCAGGCTCACTGAGTGCTGCAGGCTGCCACTTAGACTGATTTTTAGTTGTCCCTGCGATTCTGAACTCATGGCGCTTCTGGCCATGCCAAAAATACCACTCTGATCCCAGAATGGCCGGCGGAAGAGGAGAGTGCATCACAAACATTGCCTGGAATCCTGTGTGACCATGTAGGCCAGGAGCTGTTCTTAAGTTTCATGCTGCATTCAGCTGCATAGGAACAGCCTGCACCAGATCCTATAGATCACCCACCGAGTTCTGTACTCTCCGTTCTGATATCTCAGGCAGTGATCATTCCCCACTGGATCTTCTTCATCAGAGAAACCGCGGCTGAACCTGGGTTGCTTTGTATGCAAAGCATTTGCTCTGCCACTGAGCCACAGTCTCTTCCAATCCTTCTGGGCCTGGCCGGCATTCTTTAGAATCAGTCCGTCACCCCAAACATGGGCTTCCCTCCCCTAGGCCAGCTCTAGGGCTGCTCATTTTTAAGGGCTGCTATCCAGATCCTACTAGTGTGTCTTTCTTGGCTGTCTTTCAGCAGAGGGATGGGCAGGTGTGTTTGGAACAGGGCGTACAAGCCCTGAATTCTAGGCCATGTCATAATGATTTGCTGAATGTAGGTATTTCTCATGCTGGGCTACCACTGAGATCCCTGTGGTCCCCTTTATCTTGTTGGATCAGCACTTCATTCAAAAGCAAGCCTGGCCACAGATTTGCTCAGTGACTTTGGTCATGAACTAAACTTGCAGCTGGTTTTGACAAAAGTCCCCTGTGCTTAGAAGTCTGAAATGGAGCTAAGTCACAGCTTCGCTGCTTGGTTCTCGGGAAGTTGGTAGCATCCTGAGATGCCTCTTGGTAGCATCAGCAGATTCTGTAATCCAGCGCCGAGTTGAAGGGAGAAGGCCTGTCTCAAGCGTTCTTCCTTCCTTAGCTCAGGCCAAAGGCTTCTGTCACTGTGTAGTGAAATAGAGGCTTTTTGAGAATGCGTTTGCTGGATCCAGAGGCATGGCCGGCTTTGTACCTGCCAGCATCCCTTACTACCAGCCAGAAAAACTAAAGGTCTCTACACTACAGCTGTTGATTTAGTTCAACAGCACACAAGTAGAAAATTTTTCCTTGAGTGGAGGTAGGTGATCCACAGTGATCCGATCTGATCCAATCGATCTGATCTGAATACATGGAGGTGCTGGTTTGTGAAACCAGTTGGAAAGGATAGACCATAGCTTGCTGGAAGAACCTACGCTTGTACCTAGAAGGTCCCCATTTCAAAACCTGCCATCTCTTTAAGGGTTCCAGCGACTGGGCTTGGTATGGATGCCATCTTCTAAAACTGGACATTACAGGGGATGTTACTGGGGTGGAAAAACCAATAATCCAACAATGTGATGAGCACCCAGTGGCCCAAGTTATCTTCTATTTAGTCTAGCATAAGCAAATGCTGTGTGCTGAGACAGCAGGATCAAACCTTCGCTCTGCATCATTGCCCCCTACCCAATACCTCTCCCTCTGTGTGTTGGGCCTGAAATGTATCCAGTCACTTCAGGGGATAGTCCCACCCGTGCCCCATGGTAGGAGAGGGAATTTCAGGAGGAAGATGGCTCAAAGGAATGGCTACATCCTCCCATCGTGGAGCATGAGGGTTCCAGCCTGAATTGAAGCTACATGTGCTTTCCATGGAGTAAGCATACAACGAATCTTCAGTTGCGCAGTTAATGCAACAGGGAGCTTCACTCTAGGTTGTGATGCAAAACTCAGCTCTGTGTTAGGACCTGCTCAGTAACCATGCCTGCCCTTTCCCTGTGTTTCCAAAAGGAACTACGGCTCTTCTATTTATGCCCAGCGTGAAGCCATGGAATTAGGGTGCCAGCAGGTTCTCTGGCTGTATGGGGATGACCATCAGATTACGGAAGTTGGGACCATGAATCTCTTCCTGTATTGGCAAAACGAAGATGGAGGTACGGTGGCTTGTCAGTTTTAATGCAGTTGATGTGTTTTTCCTTCGGCACCATCTTTGTGGTATGTGGTTGAACAACATAGTTGCCTGGGCCCCAGGTGTGTGCAGTCCTCCTGTTTCAGAAGCACAGGTTCGCCGAATTGGTGGTCCAGGTTGTGAGGGACATTTGCAACATACGATTGCAACAGGAAGGGAGTAGTGGGAATGCTGAGGTTTGTGGGGTGGGGGAGTCTTGGTGGGGAGAACCCACCCCACAACATCTCATGCCTCCTTCACACCCTGAGAAGGAGACTCCCTGGAGAAGACCATCGTGCTAGGGAAAGTTGAAGGTGGAAGAAGAAAGGGAAGAGCAGGTAGGAGATGGAGGGACTCTGTCAATGATGCCACAGTCTTGGGTATACAAAAGCAGAGAGGAGCTGTCACGTTTTGCTCCCTAAACTCAGTACGGAACAAGACTCTTGCCTAATGAGCCTGTCTTGACGATGAAAAAACACAGAAGAAGCCTCATCAGGCGTGATTCAGGGCCTCTCCTCCCAACTTTTCTTGTACTTGTGGCTTTCCGCCTGTAGACAAAATTCTGCCCCTGCTTCCCTGCACAGGCTGTGCTAAGAACCTGAGAAGAGCTGTGTTGGATCCAGCCAAAGGGCCACCTGATCCGCTTCTCTTCCCGCTGTGGTCCACCACGTGCCCCCACGGGGAGCCCACAAGTAATGCAACAGCGCTAGGATTGCTAGGGGGCCTGCCGGGGATATGAACTAGCACTCGCACATGGGGGGTTGGCTAGGCAGAAGCTAAGCTAAAGGTTGCAGGGGTGCCCCCGCCTGCAGCTTGCTCTCCTCCACTCTCGACATGCGACTTCTCTGCACAATCCCAGTTGCGTCCCTTGCCTGGTGGCCCCGTGTGCTTCTGTGGGCAATCATGTCCCACCCACATTTTTTTAAAAAGGCTGAGTATGGGGGCTTAAAGGGGGCATCGAAAGCCATTCACACACCCATCAGGGTGTTTCAGGATAGGTTGGACATGCACATTATTATTATTATTATTATTATTATTATTATTATCATTATTATTATTATAACATTTCTATGCCGCCCCTTGCCGAAGCCTCAGGGCGGCTTACAACACAATAAAATACATGGTAAGCATGTCATGAGTGGAGCTGGCTGGAGCCGGGGGTCAGACTAGATGGCCGGGGAGACCCCTTCTGACTCGCTCTGTTTCTAAGATTACTCCTGGCCAAGTGGTAAGCATCCATCCACTCCCAAATTCACCTGCATGGCATCATGGAGGAAGAAATAATTGTAGGATTCTACTTAAGAACATCCGAGCAGCCACGCTGGATCAGTCCCACAGTCCTTCTAGTCCAGCACTTGGTCTGCATGGTGGCTAAACAGCTGCTCACAGGATCCCTCCAGGGGGGGGGGGGGGGCAAGACCCCCTCCTGGCCAAGCCCCCCAGCAACTGATGTGTGCAGGCATCCCGCCTCTGGTAAAGGAGGGAGCACATAGCGAAGAAGCCTAGTAGCCACGGATAGCCTCCTCCCTCGTGAAGCTGTCCAGTTCCCTATTATTATTATTATTATTATTATTATTATTATTATTATTATTATTAATAATTATTATTATTATTATTAATAATAATAATAATAATAATAATAATTAAAATTCGCGGAAGCCTCGGGGCGGCTTACAACGTTTTACAGCTACCCACATCGGTACTTACGACTTCGTGCAGCCTTCTCTAAACTGGCAGCCTCCAGATCTTTGGATTACAGTTCCCAGCATTCCTGTCCACTGGCTGGGACTGATGGAAGCACATCCGTATCAGAAGTCTCATAGTAGTCCCCCAGCGCAGCCATATTTGCTTTTCCCACTGTCCTTCAGAAAGAGTACAGTTTTGGGATCTCTTGTTTTTCTGTGTTGACATGCTTTGCGTTGACAGAAGAGGAGCTGGCGACCCCACCGCTGGACGGCATCATTCTTCCTGGGGTGACGAGGCAGAGCATTTTGGACTTGGCGCGCAAGTGGGTAGGTGTCTTCCAAAGAGAAGTGTAACGAAGCGGCTTTGACTAAAAGCCCTTATCCAGACTCCCTGCCTACGGGCTGCTCAGCGAGCAGGATGGGGTTTCTGGGCAGTTCAACATGAAGCTTTTCAGCTGTCACTTTAGCAAGACTTCTGCCTCCAGGTCCTTTGTGGGATTAAGAGCAGCTCCTTTGCACATGTTTTTTTTCCAGTTTGGGCAAGGGGAAGGGTCAGATCCCTTATGGCTTGTCCACCGCAGCAAGGCACTCCTGCTAAGGATGCTAACGGGCTTGGTGCAAGCGTGAGCAGCTCGCACTCTTTCTGAGCCTGCAGCTCCCGTCCGCCCTAGCCGGCCTCGCCAAAATTAAGAGACCATGCAGATGTTGTCCAAAACATCTGTAAAGCCACAATTTGCCCACCTTGCTGCTTATGGCTGCAGTTTAACAGTGCCTGTTAGAAGGGTTTCCCTGACAGCCGAGGACTTTTCACTAGTGGCTTCCTGGCTTCGGAATATCTTTCCCAGTCTGGTGTACATGCAGCTGCCATTCTTATTTCCCAAGCACCTGTTGCTCTCTTCTACTCAGATTCATGCAATACTATTGTTATGCTGCTTTTACAGGTTTGCTGGGAGCTTTAAGAATTTAGCCATTATTTTTCTGTATCTTGCCTTTGTATGGTGTGGTTAATACTTTATTGCAAATTGCCCTGGTGATACAAGTGAAGGGCGGAGTCCAAAATGGTGAACTGGCTGTTTTTATTGGTATTATTTATTTTTGATTGCATTACATTGTATATGCCACTTTTTGTCCTTGCTTGCAAGGAATCCAAGGCAGCTTATGTAGTTCCCTGCTCTCTATTTTATCCTCACAACAACCCTGTGAGGTAGGCTGGGCTGAGGAACCGATGCCGGCTCAAAGCCAGACAGTATTTCACTGCGTGTTTTATTGTTCTTAGCTACCTCAGGCGCCATTTGTTGGAAAGGTGGGAAAGAAATCTAACCAATCAGATGTGTAGATTTCCTCTTTAGCTGACCTTCACTAGGCTAGAAAGCTGTTTGCTTGGTAAGGAAAGGGAATGGATTTTAGTCATTTGGTTCCACCTCTGCCTTCCTTATGCAGGGAGAATTTAAAGTCTCAGAGCGCTACATTACCATGGGTGATCTGAAAGCTGCCTTGAAGGAGAACAGGGTGAAGGAAATGTTTGGTGCCGGAACAGCTTGCGTTGTGTGTCCCATTTCTACAATATTATACCTGGGCAAGGTGAGGACAAGAATTCTGTTCAGTCAAGTAAGGCTGTTACCGTGCAGATGAGTTTTCTTCCTGAATATCTTTTTGGACTTTGTAATGAATGAATAAAGGTATTCCTTACATGACTTTGGAAGTTTCTGCCAAAACACTGTCCTAACCTTGGATTTTTGGCTGGTGGAGCCTGTTTATTTGATTATTATTATTATTGATGTATCATCATCATCATCATCACATTTCATTTAGATCCCATTTTTTTCCTCTTGCATGGAACCCACGGTGGCTTAAACAGCTCAATTTTATCTTCAGAACAGCAACCCTGTGAGGTTGGTTAGGCTGAGAGTGAGATACTGGCCCGAGGCCACCCAATGAGATTCATGACCGCATGGATCTCCCAGGTTCTCGGTCCAACAATCTAACCAAGACTCCCCACTGGCTCTCTTAGAATGTCACTGATCCTTAGACTTCCTTACCTTTCTAATAATATTGCATTCAGAATATGGATAAATGATGCTTTTAATTATTCTTTCAAGGTTGCTATGGATCCCGATTGAAGCCAATTTTAACTTTTTGGTAGTTATGGAGAGTTTTCCTTTGACGTTAGTTGTGAGCTCCTGCTAAACAGCTTTGACAGAGAAGCTGCTTTTGGGCTGTTGCAAAGCATGCCAGATCCTGGAAGCTTCCGGCATGAAATGTGCATCTTGCAGGCTTGTAAATCACCAGCTTGTTTCTGGGAAATTAGCACTGCCTGCAGGAACATCACAGTGGAACACAGAAATGGTTTTATATGCAGCCAGACTATTTGTCCATCTACTCCCGTACTGCCAACTCTGTCTGATAAGCCAGGACTCAGGCAGGGAAGGGCTCTTTTCCATCTGCTGCTTCTTGTTTGACTGAAGAAGGTTGAATCCGTGGCCTTCTGCATGCACATGTCTTCTTGGTCCAAGCTCTGGTTCCTCCAGCAAAGGCTGGTGGATCCAATGGCAATGGGGTGGTGTATGAGTCCGAACTTTAAGGGAACCATCCATGGTGCAGAACCTTCTTGGGGCTATATTCAGCACCATGGAGAGTTCCTCAACCATTCAGACTGCAGTTCAGTGGCTATACCACCCTGCTGTTGTAAGAACCAGCAACCTCCACCAGGCCCCTCTCTAAGGAAACACAGGTAAATTTTAGGCATTTCTACTGGAATGAGAATTCAAGGGTATTGACATTTACAAATGATGGCATATGTTGGAAGCTGGGCTACTAAAGCTTCTTCCAGTCTCGCAGCTTTGGATTAATGTTCAAGGCTGATGCATGTGTTATGAATCAATGTGCGGTGAGCTGAGGGTGTTTGGGAAGTCAAATTCTGTGCTTCTAAGAGGTTGCTGGTGATCTAGAGATCCATCAGCTGCACTAGCCAGTCTAGGACACTGCATTATATGACTTCTTTGGGAAATGGAAATCTCAAATGAAGACTACAGCCTAATTTCAATTTAACATTAAGCCACAGTTTACTGGTATATGGACAAGCATCAAAGAACCCGAGCAAATCTTTGGACATTCACACATGCCCCTCTTTGTTCTCCTCCCATGTGGCTGGGGGTTTCACCTTTTCAAAAAACTTAGCTTACAATTATGTTTGAATCTTGGTTCCCTTTTAAAAGAAATGCTGGCTAGTTGCCCAAACAGGCCCACTTCAACTCAGGTGCCCAGAAACTGCCTTGTTAAACTAACCATTGGTTGTTTAGAACAAGGTGCTTGGTTTCAACAGTGCGCTAAGCTGAGAATGGTTAGAAGTGTAACTAAGAAGAAGTCCTTTCTCCAGAGGAGAGAAATGAGGGGAAAGTGTGAGCCTGAAGTTTCTCTAGGGCTCCTTGAGCCTCACGCATGCAGTATTGTGTGGTTTAGTGTTACGTGTGAATGCAGCCAATTGAAGTGTGGTTGGCAAAATGCTTTGCAATGTTTTGGAACTGCATCTACTGCGGTTTTGATAGACCTTGAACTCTTTTATTTGAAGTGCAATTGAACAGCAGTGGGGTGGGTGAGGGACTTAACTTTTCAGTTGTAGATTCCTTACTGTTTCCCCCCTTTGTTTTTCTTCTTCTTCACACTTTATAGTCTAACAAGACTTTGATCTGTTCTGGGATAGCTTCATGTCATTTCTTTTCCTCTTAGAATTTGCACATTCCAACGATGGAGAATGGACCTCAAATAGCTACCCGTTTCTTGAACCAGCTGAGTGATATCCAGGTAAGAGCATGTCTTTCCCATGATAACTATGTGAGAAAGTTGGCTGGGTAGTTCCATTCGTCTCCGGCATCCCATTCTAGGTGGGATATAAGGAACTGACTGTAGCGCAGACACGTAGTTTGCAGCACGTATTGGGATGGGCACCAACTTTAAAAGGGGATTGGTCAAAATCATGGAGGACAGCTTCTCATCATGATGAGTATCCGTTAACTTCAACTTAATTTTCTGTACTGGTCGCTGCTGAGCGCAGTGACAAAGTGCCAGTGTGGCTCTTCTGGACTTCTCCTGGGTATCTAGCTGGCCAATGTGGGAACTGAGTACTTGACTAGATAGGGCGTGGGCCCAATCCTGCTCTGCCATTCCTATATTGTCTTATGTATTCATACCTCTCGGAATGTTCTTGGAGAAGTGTCTTGTTTTAACATACCCTACCTACTTCGTCTACATGTGGGAAACCATCTTGCCCAAGGGAAGGCATTATCAGCAAACTGCCCTGACATGAAAGTCCCACATATAGAGAGCTTTTGATACAGGGATTCTATCATACTAGGATTCCCTTAGGGGTGTGCTTGGTTCTTTGAGGAGCTTTTCCCTTTTCCCTTTTTTAGAAAAGGTGTTCCAATGCCTTTCACCCTCTGTCACTTTTCCCAGAGTCCTTCTTTGAACTTGCCCTTTTTTTGGGGTGGCTATTTTTATTTGAAGTTTGGATTTCATTTACATTTTTCTTGTCCCTCAGAGAACTTTTAGCTGTTCGGCAACTAATTTCTAATTATTCCTAATTTGGAATAAGTACATTCAATTCTTAAAAAGGCCTGCTCGAGGCGGACTTCTTGGTCAGGGGACAAATTGGATCTGGATGTCTCTATTCTTAATGTGCATCACATAATTTCCCCTTTTATTAGGGGAGAGATCTGGGGCAGAGGTACTCCTTCGGGAGCCCTTCCTGAAGGAGATTAGGAGGGTGAATACCCAGAGAAGGGCCTTCTCTGCAGTGGCACCCCAGTCATGGAATACACTCCCCAGAGAGGTTCGCCTGGCACTGACACTTTATTCCTTTTGGTGCCAGGCCAAAACCTTTTTATTTTCCCATTATTTTAAGGTCTGAGTGTGATTTTAGCGTGGGGCTCTAATGTATAGAAAATCAACTTGGATGCTGAGCTCTACTCTGTTTTAATATAAGGCTGTCCCAAGGCATCGGTAGGGGGTGGCATAAAATGTTGTAAATGAATAACTAAATATTGCTCTTTGTTTTGTTTCTGTTGCAGTATGGAAGAGAAGAAAGCGAGTGGACAGTCATGGTATCATGAACCTGAAGGACAGGGCAGTTTGGACCTTCCGGCAGCACTACAAGGCAGGCCGAAACAGCACCCGAACGATGATCAGTTTTGCCGTAGCTCTGCGTAGAATAGTCTCTGTGTTTTCACTTTGTTCCTGGGCTGGGGAGTGTGATTTTCTTCACATGCCAGGGAGTGTGAACACAAACATGTTGATTTTCTACTGTGATTTTGCTCTAGACTTAGAAACCTGTCTTCTGGTAGAGGTGCTAGTTGTCAGCAATAGACACTTTCCTAACAGATTCCTTGGTGCCCCCTGTGTCTTTGATACGGTTGACAGGTGTGTGACAAGTTCTTCAACTGCTCTTGCACGCCAAGTACTCGTTTATTTTCTTAATGTTTTAACAGTAGACCAGGACTGTTACACGCAACACAATTACCAAGTGGCTCAGAGAAACGTTTTGCTGTCTCTGACTCTTCCTTTTCTTTCCAACGTTGGAAGATAACTTTTATTCATTGTAAGATATCTACTTGTCCACCCACCCACCCACCCACCCACCTAGTTTATCTATCCTGTTGTCTCTGTTTTTGTGGGATATTGCTCCAAGATCTTTTTATGTTTCTTACTGATGTTTTGGTTGTTGAGGCCACATCTCACAAGGTTTCTAAAGCTGGATTTGATCCTTCTGCAGCACCTGGTGATACTGGACCATGGGCAGATTCAAAATTTCCTTTTCTCCCTACTGAAAGGGCTTCACCAATGCCACATGGTGAAGTGCTTTGTGGAAGGAGGCTGTTGGAAAGGAGGTTGGCTATGCTGGGTGAGGACTTTTCCATCCCTCACTTCTCGAACAAGCACGATTCTGAAGAAGTAGCTCAAGGTCTGGTGATCACGTGATCCACCATATTGCAGCCACCCGAGTGGGATGGCGCAGAGTGGTGTCCTGCAGCAGCAGGGGGTTGGACCCGATGGCCTTCATGACCCCTTCCAGCTCTACTCTTCTGTGATTTTATTATTATCCCTTATGTTTTTAAATCCCTTTAAGGTGATCCACATCTACGTAGTTCTGCCAGTGCTGGGATAGCCACCTTGGTTCCTTGGAGGTGTGGACAGTGGAGTTTCATCATCCACGGCAGCTCTAGCCCACATTCCGACTCCATCATTTCCTTGCCAAATTGCTGATTAGTGAAGAGCTAATCAGGCATGGCCTTAGTCTATCGGAAGGACCAGTAAGGTGCAGCCTACATCCTGAGGTCTGGAAGACCCGCTAAACTAGGCATGAGCAGGGCTTACAAAGTCATCACTGCGTATTTCTTTAGGTTTAGGTCCTTTGAGGTTCACCATCCAGAGCTGGTTGCAAAATAGTGGCAATCGAGAGCAAACCTCTCCATCCATTGAGCTATACAATGGGCTCAATGAGCTGGGCTGACTTGCGTGTACATTCTGAGTCAGGAAACAAAAGTCTCCATTGGAATTAAAAAGCCATTTCATTGTTAAGAACTGAGTCGGAAACATTTACCCATCTACTGCAAAAGGATCCAGTGATCCCTATCTCCCTTCTACCCACCCTGATTTGGATCATCTCCGTCAGCCAGGGACTAAATTGCCCTTTTAGAGCTATAGTAAGCGTACGGTGCAGGGGGCTGGAAGGAACGTGTTTTTTTTAACTCTTCGTTGTTCTTGTTCCATCCCTTCCCTTTCCTTAAGGCCTGTTTTCCATTTCTCCAAATCACTCCAGTTTCACCCATATGGGTCACTATGTAACTATTTCCTTTGGTTTGTCTTTATCCTTAATCCTATGTGAATTTTGCCATCTACCAAACAAGATCTTTAGCTCTTGGCTCACCCCCTTTTGAGAGAGCTTTAAAACATCTCTTGCCAAAGAGGTTACCTAAGTATAGTATTTAGCATGCTCAAATTCCATGGGCCAGATATGGATTGCTTTAACATTATCATAGCCTCATGGGGCAGCAAGTGAATTACACTGGTCAGGTAGCCAATGAAATAGTGTGGGGAACTGCTTGCTGTTTTGTTATTGCACTAATGAAGAATTTTGGGAACAGAAGCGTATTTTATTAGGGAGGGTGAAATTTTGGAAATGATTATCTCTGTCACTTTTCTAACAGAGCCTACCTCTAACTGATGATTTGCTAAATACCTGTCTCTCCTACCTCCCCACATACCTTCTGGTCTTGTAGCCACATAGGATGTTCAGAGAACAGATGGCACAGAACTCCCTGGACTGTACTATTGCATGTGAGGGGTGGTGGAAGTGCTGAGACCGCCTGTTTAAATGTCACCATATATCTACAGTGATTAGAACGAAAAAGTTAGCATCTCAAGGAAAAGAAACGTGCCCCATTCTTTCTCCGGCATGTGCAAGCTCTTCTGGATGCGTGGGAGCAGTCGGAAAGACCTGACGTGATACAACCTGCCAGGTCCCCTGAGCCAAGTACTTTTGCTGACCATTTTGAGCAGCACATAAAATGTGTCCATTGGATTAGATGGTCCAGCTTTTAATTACATGTCCAGGATCTGACTGGCAGCCATTCCCATGTTTGCAGTTCCTCTCCCTTTTGCTTGCATATCCTTTGTAGAAAACCTATCAATGCTATAGGCAGTGGTGCCAGTTCACACACGAATATTTCTCTGCACGAGTGCAAACCTGGGTAGGCCCATGTCTGTTCACAAGGAGAACAAAACATAGAGTGTGAATTTGCTCCAGGTGACTGAGCAATGGATGTCGAGACAGGTTTCTAAGTTTTTGTGCCACTTTATTGAAGACTAGTTGAGACTAATTGTGCCAAATCGTGTTCTGTTCAGAATACACACTTAAGCACAAATGTTTGTGCCACTTACAGTAGAAATAGCACTGTGTATTTCCTCTTCTTGCCTCTTGAGTGTTTGCTGTGCTCCAATCATTGTTCAGTTTCAGTCCAAGTATTGCTAGCCAGAGGTATGTGGGTGGGGTTCCCATCGTCCTGCTCCTGAGACTGCTGGCCACGGGATTAAATGGGACACACCATGCTTCTGACACCCAGGAGGAGAGCTGCTTGAACAAGGCCATGATCATAACTGAAGAGTGCCTTCTGAATAGAGGGAGCATGTCTGTGCTGAAAGAGTCACCTCACTGAGACCAAAACTAGGTGTTCAGCCGATTTCTCAAAGATGGGATGGGGGAGCCCAGATTCTGCCATGGAGCGACAGGAAGAGAGGCCATCTGCAGTGAATCAGCCGAGAGTGGGGCCTGTGCCGAGCCAGTGCTTGCCTCCCCCGGGTTCCTTTTCCCATGCCTTTGTTTGCCACTTCGAGGAATGCAATCAGTTGTGCAGATAGTCTGGAGGGGATTATAGGGGAGATGACAGGCAGGGGGATGATTGGGTGGGAGAGGTGCCGATGGGTTCTCCATCTTCTTCTGCCTTGTGTGGTGTGGGGTCAGCAGTGGAGGCTCCCAGACCCACCCCAGTGGGCTCCCCTGAAGTCTAGAGGGAGCCTCTTCTTGCAGGCTGTCAGTGGCAGCCCCGAAGGCGACTGGCTTCCCTCTAGGCCGGCTGCCCAGCACACAGAGAAAGGAGAACTCTGTGCGTGTAGGAGAGAGGACAGCGTTAAATCCCTGGAGTGAGAAGAGGAGCAGGGCGGGTCCCAGGTGGGGAGGACAAAAGCATGCTATTCCTGCAAGGCTCAGTGCTTTTCCACGCTGCGATGAGACTGTGCCTGGAAGAGCCGGTCCCTGGTTCCCGGAGGGAAAATGTTACTGGTTTCGCCACACTGCTGTGGAACACCTGGAGCTTCTGACGTGGCTGCCACGTTCATTCAATAGGATTGCCTTTGTATCCTGCTCTTTGCGGAGGACGACTGAAGGAATGCCCCTGAGCAGTGGTTGCGTATGTGTTGTCATGTGCAGGGTCAAAGTATTTCCTGCAGGCATCCTATGGAGCTGTCTGATATCAAGCTCAGGCCCCTGAATTGCTCTTGTCTGGGTAGCGGTTCTCCCATTGGAGAGATGCCCGGCAATATGAATTGCTTCTTGGCAGTAGCACGTGATCTCCGCACTCTCCTTTTACACCAGAATACGTGGTGCATATTCGGCTTCAGCCGCCTTGCAGCGGTGGCATTCTTGTCCTTTCCCGTGCCTATGGGACCTCTCGGAAGCGGGGAGAGCCACTGGATTTTGCTAAGGATCTGGAGGCACGGGAGGAGGAAGCCAGAAGCTCTCCCACCTTTTGTGTGGAGCATCCAAGGAGGCCCTCGTGCTGACAGTGTAAGGCAGGGAGAGCAACTCATCGCTTGGCAGGCGCTTCGCCCTGCAACACCCATGCTCCCCTGTGCTGGCTAGGGCACATGGGAAGCATAGGCAAAGCCATCTGCGGGGCTGGAAGTTGCCTGCCCCAGGATAGGAAGTCGCTGCCTGTTCTTAGAAGGGGTCTGCGAGAAAGAATTGGTTCATTCCAGTAAAAGAGGTGGCTGGAATAAGCAGACACTCCCCTTGCTGTCGTTCTGCAAAACTCCCCTTCTGTTTCTTGTGGCCAAATCAGTTCCACATTGCAGGGAAATACCCTTGTATTCGACCAAGCATTGAATCATTTGTCACACAGGAAAGCACACTATGAAGTCATTAAAACCCCAGGCTTGCTTCCCCAATACACATTTTTAAAAAAAAATCTGTTAAAAAGATGCAGCCTGATTTGAATGATTATTATACCACTCTGTCGGCCTAAGTGAGGCTGGGGAAAAGTTCATTCTGTTCATATTTTAAAGCAGGCTTACCTAACCTGCACTTGCCAAAACAAAACACAAGCTGAGCCGCACTTTGAGATTCACTGATTCTCAGATTTTGCAATGTAGTCGTCCAGGTTAAAAATGCATACAAAATGAATGTATTAGGAGAAAGCGTGCACAAAAGTATGTATATTAGTGAAGACAGTGTATCAAAATATATTAGGGGAAATTGCATGCCAAAATGGTTATATTAGGAGAAAAGCAAGGCAAAACCAACTTGAGGTTGGAAAAATGAAACATGCAGTGAAATCAGAATGGTCATATTTGTCCATTCCTGTGAGCCGTTTTCCCTGTTCTGTTATTTAATGGGTTCAAAATGTTGGTCTGCTCTAGAGTCCATGATTCCTTCATTCCATCATTACTGGAAAATTTATATTTAATTCTGGAATTAAATTGCACTTAAGTGTAATTTAGCAACAACAGCAACAACAAACCAAGTGCAATTTGCAGAAGCCTTTATCTAAACTGCATCTTTTTTTCTCCTGTGTTACCAATATTCCCTTGTATTTCCTTGAGAAGTGCACTAACGATCCATGGTAAAATAACATTGTAACTATAATGTAAATTTCCACTGGGGGAGACAGGGGTCTTCCAAGGAAGCAGTAGAAGTTGCATATAACCTTTTCAGGAAAAGCTGTTAATCAAAGCAGCCCCTTACCCACACTAGCTACACACTCTGCTCAGTATAAAAAGCTGTAACACTCCTACTAGGTAGCTAAGAGAACACAATAGTTTTAAACAGCTACTTGTCTGTATTACTGAACATAGCTAGTGCATTGGCCACAATCCTCAGGCATGCACCTACAACATCTGTGCATGCACCCAAAATCTCCCATCTGTTCCCTCTTCAGCTTTTTTCACCAAACTTCCAAGCTGCTTTTCAACACAAGCAGTTCACAGGTCCATGTGTGGAATCTGCGGAAGATGGTCCAGAAGAGTTGTGTGCATGCATGAGTTACTTACCTCTTTGCTCTGTGGCCGTCAAGTTTAACTGGAGTGCACTGTTGTGTCTTTGCGATGTGATCCAAGAGTGTTTTATGCTCTGGAATTGTCTGTATAAATGGATACAACCGGTTTGAGGTGTGCTTTTGTTTGCTTGTGTTTTCAGACTGTGATTGCTTAAGATCCTGGTTTTTCAATGGTCTTTTCTTCAAATGTAAAGGAGTTTATCAGATCACACTCAAACCAGCAGAGTATTTTGATATTGCGTGACAATCCTATGAAAAAAATAAAAACTATACCTTCTCTGGTCTGATTGTTCTGTTTGCACAACAACACGGATGTTTCCAGCAAGCAAGAAGAAAGGACATCCATCCACTCGTAATGATAAAATCCACTGGATGGACCACACTTAAACAGCAAGCATCAACCAGATGCCCTCATCATTCAAGTGCAGAGTTGGTTCTATTAGAATGGATAGGAGGTGGAAGTCCATCCATTTTTGAGAGTTGGATGGACTCCATTAAGGAAGCTACAGCCTTGAATTTAGAACAGCCAAGCAGGGCTGTCCTGGATAGGAGGTTTTGGAGGGCTTTCATTCATGTGGTCACCATAAGTTCAGCTTTTTGTTTGCTGCTTTTCTTCAGTTTCACCTTTTTATTTTACTTTTGCAACAGCTGTATGAGGTAGGTAATATTGTGATCAAGTGACTAGTCCTTAGTGACCTTCATGGATGACGGGATTTGAACTCAAGAATCCCCAGTCCTAGTCTTGACTGTCTTGGGGGTCCAATTCTGTACATGTTTAGACAGCAAAAGTGCTGTATCTCCCAGCATGCCCCAACTCCCATCATTTCTAGCCAGTGTAACTATTTGAGGCTGTTTTAACCATATACAACACTGTCTTTCCTAATGGAAGTCCATGTAGATAGAAAGACACCAAACAGGAACAACTGCAAATGCCTCTTTGTATCTAGTATCAGAATAGCTTCATCAGACCTTTCTTTTTTTTTAAGAAAAGACTTTAAAAAGCCAAATCCTGAATCCCACAATGGATGTTTCAATTTCAATTGAAATCCCCCATGCATCTTTACTCAGATATGTGTCCCATGATTTCTAGTACTGGCTGGATTTAGGAATGTGTGGGCCCTTGGGAAAAAAACACAATTTCTAAGAGAACAGGCATCACAGCAGGACAGAGAGAGAAGCTTTTCCTGAAGAACTAAAAGCTTGGCTTCTATGGGAGAATGCACTCTCCAGCATCCTGCTTCCAGGTTGTTTCAGGTGTGCAAGATCACTGTTCGCCCTGGATTTGTCCCCAGAGCCACTGAAGGGCTTTGCAAAAGGGGAATCTCATGCACCTTACAACTGACTTTGGATTTTCTATCCCCACCTTCCCACCATTTATGGGGAAATTACTTTTGCAATGGGCATTCTCAGCTTTTGTTTACCACTATAAAACTTTAAACTCCTGGTAGCTGGCATAAGAGGCTTAAGCATGGGATGGGTACCAGTTTTGGAGACAAGTTAAACTATTAAATAATTAAAGGGAACTGTTTTGGCTTTGAAGTTTTTTTTAAAGCTCCTTAGCAGCATTTCTTTAGAACTCAAGAAACTTGTTTTTCCAAGCCTCTTGCAGGTCACATTCTTGAAACTTCCATTCTAGCCAAAAACCTTTCCAACAAGGCTTCAAGGTATCTTGTTCTTTATTCAGCTCCTGGGAAAATGGCAAATTCCACATTTCAGATCATTAGGGAAGAAAGTGAAAAGAACATTGCCAGTGTCACATGGCCCTTATACAAAAGTTTGTGACCGCACTTAGAATATTGTGAACCGTGTTGGTCACTGCAGCTAAAAGAAGAAGAATTTGTTTAGAAGAATGTGCAGAAAAAGGGACCAAAATGATTCAGGGGTTGAAGCAACTCCTCTATGAGGAAAGGTTAAAATTTTCACAGTGGTTTAGCATAGCAAAAGGGCATGAAAGGGGGGAGAGGTGGTAGGTGTACCAAATTTTTCATAGTGAGAAGAAGAAAGATTTTTCTCCCTGTGTTTAAACTATGAACTTTACAACTGCAAGATAGAATAAAGGCTGCACATTTGGATGGATTTTAAAAATCTGGTAAATTCATGGAGGAGAAGCCACTGTGTTAGAGTGGTGAGAGTGCAGGTCTAGGACTCAGGTGTTCCGGGTTCTAGTCCCCATTCAAACATGCAGCCACCTGGGCCAGTCACACAGACCAGCCTACCTCACAAGGCGGTTGTTGGTTTTGTTTGCTCATTTGTTTTTACGTTTCTATGCCACCAGCTATTCCAACAGGAATTTCTAAGTGGCTTACAGCAAATTCAAAATCAACTATTAAAACAACACAATAAAATTGTCATATAAAACCTCACAGCAGCAATATAACATTGGTCATTTAAGAATGTCACAAGTGAGGAGGGCAACCATATGCATAAACATTAAAACAATTTAAAATCAGTTATTAAAATTCCTGGGAAAGAGTAATGTTTTTACCTGGTGCCAAAAAGAGAACAATGTTGGTGCCTGGTGAATTTCTCTGAGGAACCTGTTCCATAAATGGGAGCAACCACCAAGAAGGTCCTTCTATTTATTTACATTTTTAAGAATTTATTTACAGCTTTTCTATCCAGACCAACTACTGGCATCTTGGGATGGTTTTACAATAAAAGCAACACAAATAAAATGGAGCACAGCACAGCATTATATTATTCAGTATAATAAAACCCACATTAAAACCTATATTAGAAACATAGAAACAGAGCAAGTCAGAAGGGGTCTCCCAGGCCATCTAGTCTGACCTCTGGCATCAGCCGGCTCCGCTCACGACATGCCCACCATGTGGACGTCCAGCCTATCCTTGAACACCTGCACCGATGGGGCCTGAACGACCTCCCGTGGAAGCCCATTCCACACCCTCGGGGTCCCAACTGTCAGGAAGGGCTTCCTGGCATCCAAATGGAACCTTGGCTCCCTGAGCTTTGCTCCATTGGAGCGCGTTCTGCCTTCCTCTGCAGGGGAGAACAGGTCTCTACCCACCTCCATGTGACATCCCCTCACATACCTGTATGTCGCCAACATATCCCCTCTGAGTCTCCTCCAGGCTGAAGAGACCCAGTTCCCTCAGTCTCGCCTCATATGGCATCCCCTGCAAATTGGCCACCAACCTTGTGGCCCTACGCTGCACTGACTCCAACCTGGCTATATCCTTTCTGTAATGAGGGACCCAAAACTGAACACAATACTCCAATTACAGGCGCACCAGAGTCGTGTAGAGTGGTAGTAATACCTCTCTTGATCTAGAAGCCACACTTCTGGCTATGCAACCAAGGGTGGCGGTCGCCCTCTTGACCACCGCATCACACTGCTGACTCATGTTTAGCCTGCATTCAACCAGTACCCCGAGGTCCCTTTCACAAGTGCTGCTCTCCAGCCACTTGTCACCTAACCTGTACTTATGGCAGCTATTCCTATGCCCCAAGTGCAAGACCTTGCACTTATCCACATTGAACGCCATCCTGTTGTCTCCTGCCCACTTCCATAGTCTGTCCAGATCCTTTTGGATCTGGAGTACCTGCTCCTCAGTTGTGGCCACTGCTCCAGTTTTAGTGTCATCTGCGAATTTGATCAGCAGACTGTTCACCCCTTCTTCCATGTCGTTAATGAAAAGATTAAACAGGATCGGCCCCAGGACAGAGCCCTGGGGGGCCCCACTTGTCACTGACTGCCATCCCGATATTGAAACCTATTAAACATTAAAATGGGAAAATAAAAAGTTTATCACTTGGCGCTGAAAAGAATATAGTATCAGCACCAGGGGAACCTCTCTGGGGAGCGTATTTCGTAATTGGGGCAGGTATCCTGGACTGAAGCCATTTAGGGCTTTGTGTGTGGGTCAGAAGGATGGCCATAGCACAAGAGAAGCGAGCGCTCTGTAAAGCCAGAGTTGCAAATGTTGCAACAGTGGTGCCCACACAAGTCTGCCTGACATGTGGCAGAACACTCCGTGCCCCTGTCGGCCTTATCAGCCACCTGCGGACACACCGTGGACAACTCACAACCCATTAGATGTCAAGGTCCTCATCGAAAACGATGGACAGACATCATCACCAGCACCTTAAATTGGGCCCAGACTTCAATTGGCAGCCAGTGTAAATGATAAAGGACTGGCATTACATGTGAATACCTACCAGTCTCCATTAACATCCTGGCAGCTCTGTTCTGAACCAGCTGAAGTATCCGGACTGTGTTCAGGGGCAGCCCCACGAAGAGCACATTACAATAATCCAGTTGGGAAGTTACCAGAGCATGGGTCACCATTGCTAGGCAATGGTCTTCCAGGCAAGGGCGCAGTTGCTGGATCAGCTGTAGCTGAAGGAAAGTGCTCCTTGCTACCACTGGCACCTGAGACTCCAGGGACAGCTCTGGGTCGAGGAGCACCCCCAAAGTGTGCACCCTGTCCTTTAGGGGGAGTGCAACCCCTCCCAGAACAGAGCTAAAGTCTCTTACCAAGAAGGCTGAACCGCCCGCCAACAGGACCTCTGTCTTGTCTGGATTAAGCCTCAAGTCATTGGCCCCCACCCAGCCCATTGACCCCTGTGACAGCCACTGCCTCACCTGCCTGTTTGCCATCCCTCTTGCCTCCTTGAGGGATGGCTCCTTTAGAGGACCTCCTTGTTGTGGGGATAAGATTGGGGGCAGGAAGAGGAGACTGATGTAAGCTGCCTTGAGGTCTTGTAAGAAAAAAGGCAGGATATAAACAAATAAATAAGAAGGCTATCCATGGCTACTAGTCCTGATGGCTTCGTGATAGCTCCAATTTCAAAGGCAGCAAGGCTGTGTTCACCCACCACTGGGAAATACAACCAGGAAGGTGCTACTCAGTCTTGTTCCAGTTCTGGGTTTCCCAAAGGCAGCCAGTTTGGGGCTATGTTAACAACATGCTGGACTAGATGGAACCTTGGTAGGATCCTAAGATGCTCGGCTAAGGTAGTGGACTGTCTCAGCTGGAAGAGATGCTCTTCTGCCTCCATCGTCCATCTCCCCATCAGTGCAGGTGACAGGATGGCACATGGACATTGAGCATCAATCTGTGTTAAGTCCGGCCACGGAGCTCATTGTGGTCTCCTCTGACTGGGGACAGCTCTCCAGGCCTTAACCAAAGACCTTTCCCAGAGTTTCCACCTTCACCTACCTTACAGGTAACCCTAAACCTATAACCTTCTGCATACAAACCTTTCCACTGAGCTAAGGCGAAGTCTCTGCTAAGGAGCTATATATAGCTTGAA